TTTACTTTATATTATATGTAATATTTTACATATTATAAAATAAATTAAATGAATTTCTCTCTTGAATTTTTTGACTTACTCTGTTGTCATAATTATCAACACATATGTAAAACAAGTAATCCACAACATGCTATATGGATTTTTTCATTTTTATGGCATTTTAAAAAACTATCTAATCCGACTTTTTGTTAAAAGAAAATTAAATTTAAATTAACTTAATATATTTTAGCGTGCGTTCGCTATGATGGCGAACTTAAGGCATCATTCATTGAACATTTATTTTCTTTTCTTTTTTGTGAGCTACCGGATGCTTCTCTCCTCCAAAAATTTTAACAAATTTGTACACACTTTTTTGAAAAACAAAATCACACCTAAATAAACGTATTCAAAATCCTTTTACGAGTTATATATTTATGTCTAAATCTTAAAAATGCAAGAAAATATCCTTGCATTTTTATTATCTTAGTATTTACTATCACCATACTTACGAAATTGAGAAAGTATATTAAAGTATTTGATCCAGAGAAGATCCCATTGCTAATCTATTTGTGCTGGATTCAACACATTCCTTTCTAAGCAATTTTGTCCTTACGATGATATTTTCTGTATCAATTACGTTTACGACTAAGAAGGCATTATGTAGCTTATATTTTCGCTTATGTTTGCAAATTGCTGTTGCATCATATCTCTTAGAACTTCTTCTGTAATCGACAAAGAAGAACCATGGAAAATCAATTGATCCTTTTGTAAGTGTTGAATGTGTTGTAGTAAATTTGCGTCACACTTTATTGAACCATCTTTCACAAGAAAGTTTATTTCTTGCTGTTTAGGCATCGCCAGAACTTCAACAGTTTTCTCAAATATTTCTTTTGATTCAGTACAAAATACATCCTTCTTGCTTTTACTCTTCTTCCTAGCTGAATGTGTCTGAGCATGTTTATGCAAATGATCTTTTCGTGCAAAGGCCTTTTGACATGTAGGGCATATAAAATTTTTATTGCCTGAATGAATAACGTTATGTCTTCTCAAATGTTCGTTTCTCTTAAAAGCTTTTTCGCACAAAGAACATTGATAAGGCCTTACATCAGAATGACCACGCATGTGTTGATCCAAATGTTCTTTCCTCTTCAACATTGCACTGCATAATTCGCATTGATATTTTCGTTCCTAAAACAAAAGATAAACAAAACAAAATTCGCGTGAGAGTAAAGAAAAAGTATATTTCTTATAACGATATAAAAAAGAATAGCTCACTTGTATATGAATTTGTCTGTGTTGTTTTATTTGGGACACCTCACGACAAATTTCATTGCAATCAGGACAGGAATATACTTTAGAACCATCTAAACCAACGAGTACTTTGAATTCTTTAATTTTAGCTTTAAATTTCATTACTTTTCTGCTCTTGGGTGGATCAGTTTGTACTTGTTGCTCTACTTTCATAACTTGCATGTTACTTTCGCAAACTTGTTGATTCGATGCCAAGTGGACGCTAAGATCATTATGATTCAATGATGCATCGATCTGCTCTGAGTTTATAAAATGATTACCATTTTGTAATTGCGCATTTCTAAACCCTGGTACGCTAGGAATGTTTAGAATATTGTTTTGAATATGATCCAATTTATCGTCTTTATATTGTTCGTTTTGTAATTTCATTATTTGTAAATTTATTAATGGCATCGTAGTAGCTTGTATCTTCTGAATATACTCTGTCATGTTAGAACCTTGTAATTGAAAAACTTGCTGTATATCTTCAGAAGTTATTATTTCGTTATCAGTCTTATTCTCTTCCTTGGAAGTATCTATTTGCGACGTAGAAGGTAAGTACACATTAGGTATGACCCTCATTGGTATAGGATTCGATTGGACACTAATTAAAGAGGCATTGTTCTGATTGTAATTAGGAATGTTAATGGCACACTGTTTCTCGTATAGCTGCATAATTGCACTGGAATCGGACAAAGTTAACAGAGATCCAGGATATTTGTTCGGTGAATTTACCTACAGAAATGTTCGCGATTATACGATTAAAAATACATGTAAAAAAAGAAAAGTTATTAAAAATTCTCATACTTACAATAAATTGCTGCTTATTTTGATTTAATCCAGTAGCTACAGTGTAAACAGAACCTTGTTGAGCCATTGGTAATTCTATAGTACTGCTATTTATGTTGTTTTGATTAAATTCATTAAAAATAGGATTCGTTCTTAACGTTATTTCAGAAAATTGTGGCAGTGTGCCTTGAATATTATTACTTTCACTGAAATTCATCTTTTATTCTTAAAAATTGATCTAGTTACGCGCGCATTCGTAAAACCATAGCATACAAGATGTTTGTAACCTATAATTCCAGACAAATTCGAAACACGTTTTAATAAAACAATCTTCGGTCTCACTTTTCATTACTAAAATAAAAGAAAATCTTTGTTATACACAGAAATGTCGATATAAAATACGATGAGTATAATTAAATTAAAAAAACTTAAAGACCAAATGTATATACCCTGAACGCACGCGGCGTCGTACACTGCGAATTAACATGGTTGCGTTAGCAATGTAGTTCAAGAAAAACGCGGCAAAATCAAATTATTTAAATAATTCAAAAAGATTCTATCGGTTTATATGATCTACACGAATTTCTTTATCGAATAATCGACGTTTCTTTTTTATCAAAATTACTTTTATTTTTAATATTATCGTTGTTACATTTTTAAAGAAAATAAATAAATTAAATAAAGGAAAATTTTCTTTCCATTATATTGGTCAAACTGGAACATTTCTTGTTGTTGTTTACAGTTGATGCTAAAACCAACTTCATTTCGTTTATAGAGTAATAGAAAATATTTTAATTCGTTCCTCGATCATACGAATCATAAACGCATTTTGCAATATTATTATGTTTTAAAAAGAAAGCTTTTTTAATAAATAAATACAGGCCAAATCTGTAACACAAGTAGAAGGAAAATGTGTTTCTTTTATGTTTATTCTATTTTCCAATAAAATGTACTTTAATGAGATCATAGCATATGCATCTCTTCAATTTTGAACTATAAGCATGAGAATGTATGTGATTAATGTAAACAAAAAATTGCATGTACATGGATGAAGACTCTGAACAATTGTTAGATTATTTACGTAAGAAAAGCAGGACTTTGCTAGCTTTTACAGAAACTAATTCTAAGAAGATCAATAACGAGATTGAAAGATTGCATTGCAAGAGTTCGTTAGTACAGTTCCAGAAGGAATTAACTGTTGAAAGCAGTCTAACTCTTTGAAATAATAAGCCATACCTACAGTTTTTATTTACAGCTTTTATTTACAGAAAATTAAGAAGACAGAATTCTCATTTAAGAGATCGTAAAGAAATATGGAACTTGAGGAATAATTCAAGTGCCATTAACAATCTTTTGTGTCCAGAGTATCATTCTGAAACTAAAAATCTAACATGTTTGTCGGTTCCTAACATGCGTCCATTAGAAAGAATTGTCATACCATCCAAAAATTTATCTCATTCGCATTGCTCATGCATAGTAAGTAGGAAACCAGTGAAAGAATGTTATTGCAATGTTGAGATCAAAAAGATACAAACTCGTTCTCCAAGAACCATACATAAACCTATTCCATCTTGTAATTATTGTAAAAATAATATTTGTCATGTACCATTGACGACAAATGAAAATAATATAGGAGATACACTATCGCCTCCAATTAGTTGTGAAACTATTAGAAGAGTACAAAAAATCAATTACTATCCTCAGTCACAATTTCTTCGTAATGTTCAAAAGAAAGTTTCTGTACTTAAGAATGTACCTTCCGGTGATTGTCCTGACAGCTGTCCAAGATCATCGTATTATCACAAATTGAGGACTGATAAGACTTCGATGGTAATGGATACGGATACTCGAACAAAAATTATTACAGAAAAAATAAGCAAGCGTAGTTGCATTGACCATGAGAAATTGAATTCTACTCAGAGAGTACCAAGTTCTTTGATGGATGAAGAAGAAGAAGAAGAAGAAAAAGAGGAAGAAGAAGAAGAAGAAGAGGAAGAAGAAGAAGAAGAAGAAACTGAAAAAAAAATAATAGAAAAAGTAAGTAAGGGCATTCAAGTACCTTCGAGGAAACAATCTAAAACCAAGTTTCAAGTAAAAAGAACTATATCTTCAAAAAAATGTATATCGGAAGGATATAAAAGTAAACCTGTTTCGAGATCACCTTCTATCAGTAAAAAGACTATAAGATCATCTTCTATTGTGGATTGTCAGTGTTACGACAAAAGTAAAGCGGACAAATATACCAAAGATTTGGAAAGGAAAGAATCAGAAACATATCGTGTTCATTCAGAAGATTATGAAGAAGTAGATCAAAAATCAAAAAAATGGTCATCGCATGAAAAAGAGGATCAAAGAAAAGGTTTAACATCTTCGAATAACAAAGTTAACGAATTAAGAAAATTTCGTGAACAAAATTATTTCGACACTCATGGATCAAGTCAAACTCTTTTGTCATCGGAATCTTCAAGATCGTTACAGCAATATACTTTGAATGAGCGACTTTTCGCTGAACCTTTTAAAAGAATTCACAAAAAGGATTTAGTTGTAACGATGCCACCTTGTGCAACAATACAAAAGAAACGCATTCATTATTTTCCTAGATATATAGTAAGACAAGAGAAAAATAATTGCAATGCGAATTACAAGAAAAAACGTTGTCAAAATTGTCCATTGACTGGACACGCCATAGATCTTGGGATTTCTAAACCTCGTCCGGTATTGAATAGCTTGGCATTAAAATATCAAAAGAGACTTCCTTAATGAAGTATTTTTATAATTTAAAAGAATTTTTTTCTATTAATTGAATTATACGATTCTATTGCACATGTGCATTTAATTATATATATTTTTTCTTTTTATACTACACAGAATAATTTTTATTCAAACACCATTTTTACAAACTTTTTTTAATTAAATTTTTTTAATTAATCAAAGCATATCAATTTTTAGTCTCATATTAAAATCTTTTTTTTTTTATTAAAAAAATTCAAGCATAGAGTTGCAAGACTGATTTTCATCCCAGACGATAAAAGTGTGTGTGATCGTATTATTTATAATAAATTAATTTAATGATAATATTATAAATATCTATGAAATGTCTCTGTAAATAAATAAATAATCATCGATTTTTTTAAATATAATTAATATGGTATGTATAATAATTCAAACAATCTGTAAAATGATCATTTATAATAAATTATCAGAAAAAATTAAAAACATATTAATACTTACTTACAAAAAGAAGATAAGAAGACATTTTTGAAAAATTTCCGAAGTTATTCAAGTCGCTCAGCAACTTTTTCAAACTTGTAGCGCGCGCGCGCACAATAACGAAAACGATAGGAAAAAAAATATTTTTGAAGCACATTAATCACTATTTTGAATAATTCATCTGTGCATATAGAACTATATAATACGTAAAACTTTAAATCAGCCAATAGGAAGGCTGGATTTTTTCGAAATATAAAAACAATCATTCTTTCATAGTTAAAAGGAATATCACGAATTTAATAAAATATTAATTTATTTTTAATTAATTTAATTAGAAAATGTATATTTAATAAAAATCATAAAATAATAATAATATATAACATATATATTTTAATTAATTAAACAAGAAACGTTTTGATGATTGCTGTTTTAATAAGCAAAGTTGGTAGTACTGCTACGGATTATAAACTTGATTGTCAGTTAGAATCGAGTACATTTCGTAGTTCAATTGTTTTTAATCTTCTTTCTTTCTCTTTAATTTATTTTTGTTAACAATCATATTCCATTAATTAATATAAATATCTGTCTTACATAGTCGTATCGTACATAATAATTATTTGTTAAAGTAAAATAAATTAGAATGATTGCGGCAAGCAGAGTAAACTTATTCAATGGTCACATTACCGAAATTAATACCTCTGAAAGTGCTGAAATTGTATTTGTACTTAATGACAACCTGCAAAAAGCATATCTGTGTAAACAAGTATATTTTTACAATGCTCGATTAATACCAGAAGAGGATCCTTTGAATAAATACGTTTTTACCAACATGGAGGTATATTTTTGCATACGTTCATATTAATTTGAAAAAAAAAAGTAATATTTCACTGAAAAATGTTTGCATTCTTTGTAGGTAACTTTTGTTTGCAATAATGTACGAATAAGTGAAATGATTTCCAAATGGGTAGTAATTATGTGTTGGCCGAAAAAACATAGCCTTGGAGATAAAGTTGATATAAAAGCAGGAATGATTGGTATTTCAGGATATATATTTAATTTAGAAGATAAACAAGGAATTCTGCGCACAGTAGAATATAATCAGAAATTGAAAATATTTTTTACGTTAGACAAGTTCTTTTTACATGATAAAAACTTATCCTCCCATCCAACATTGATACATCAGTTAAATTCAGAGACTATGGTACATTTTGATGCTATGCCTTGCATACCCAAAGAAAATAAATATAATTGCGAATGGTGCGCTACTTGTGTATACATAGGACCAAAACCAATCATGGAAAATATTATGTTGGAATCGACTAATGAAATCGCTACGCAAGTTCTGCAAGTTATTCATAATGTTAGTATATTATTTGCACATTATTTTATAGATTTAAAATATAATTTTATATTTGTATATCTCTTTGATAATTGTGGTTATATATTTTCTTTTCTTTTCCTCTCTTTTAGAATTTCATCAATCCATTATGTGTATATGTCATCGGCAAAGGAAAATTTTTTAGGAGTATTGACGATGAGTTTGGCTTGATATTAGCTCAATTTCAAGATAATCTTTTCAAGGAAATACTATTTCATAAAAAGAACGCTTACGTCTTTAATATATGCATGGCCAATGAAAAATTATCCGACATTTTTAAGAAAGGTAAAAGAATAGTACTTTAGTTCATATTATAAGAAATAAAGAAAATAAGTACTAATTTAACTTAATATTATTTATCGTTTCTTAGGAGATAAAATGCATTTTATCGCAATTGCAGCTGAAGTAGATAAGTTTATAGATTGGATCGCTGTACATGTATCTGTTTGTGACTATGGAGAATAAATCCATTTCAAAGCACAAACTTTGCCAGGAGATTATACATCAATGATTAGAAGAAATAGGTTTGTAATAATATTGCCAAAAATCAAAGTATTTTCTAAAACCAAAGTTATTTTTAGACTTACTATATAATTTATATATATATATAATATTAATAATATAAGGAAGGTACGACGTAATGCTAATGCATTTAACAAAATCTTATTTTTGTTTTTCTAAATGGAGACTAAACGATTATATACTACGACCTGTTATGTGTACATATGTAGATATATATATATATATATATATATTTCGAAATTGTTATCATTGTCAGCACTTTTTTATATATATATTTTTTTTTACAAAGTTTAACAAAGTTACTAGTTATTTAATTCTATAAGAGAAAACACAAATCTTTACAATATGATAGCTGTTACTATTTTTAAATCTTTATAAAGGAGTGTCTTTAAAATTGTTTCATCGAGAAATTCAAAACAAAAGAAAAAAATGTAATCTCACGATAGACCTTGAATCTCCGTGTATTTGGTTAAAAATAATTAATAATTTATCTGTTCGATAATGCGACTTTATAGGGATACTGTAAAATTAGGAATATGTCTCTCGGAGACGCACAATTACGCTTATTTACCTGAACTTCTTATGTGATATTATTGTTATTAGTGTATATTTATATATGTATATCTAAACAATCAAACAAACCAACAAAAATTTTTTTTATATGTATACATTCTATAACTAATTTATTCGTTGAAACTTTTATCCAATAAGATTGTTAATAAATCAAAACCTAAACGTTTTGCGTCTTCCTTAATCAATCACGTTTAGTCTAACTAAAATAATCTAAATGCAAATAAAATTTAAATGATTAATATGTCAGAGAAAGAAGAAAAGAAAGCAAGCAGTAACTGTATTATAAGATCTCTTTTCACGCGATTATGTATTTCATCCAAAAATTTCTTTCAAACTTTCAAAGGAATTTATTAAGCAATCTATTTCTTTTCAATTACGGCAAACTTTTCTGTTCAGTTTTACGTAAATTTCAATTCTTAGTTTTGGTTTTATGCGATTCTAGAAAATAACGAAACGCATTCGTAATATTTTAAGATAAGTAAAGTCTTTTTTTATCTGTATCCGTGTTTTTTTCATATACGTTTTTCTATAGAACGTATCCACTATATAAAACGAAACCTTATGATATACATAATACAAATTTTGTATATTCGAATGTTTTAACTTTAGCCGGATGACTTTAATTTTAATCTACGTAATGAGTCATTGAAAAAAAGTGGTCTCGATCATTTCCTAATAAACGATTGAAGTCCGGAGATGGGAGTCCGGGATACCGTACGGGACATGGCACGCGCTCGTTAAATTATTCATGCTCGTTTTACGGAGTAAGCAAACAAACAAACAAGCAAACAAGCAAGCTAGCTAGATAGCTAACCGAGGCTCGATTACATATGTAGCTAGATGGTGATGCAAATGACACGATGCTAAATAATTCCTTCTATATCCATGATAATCTCGCTTGAAGAGATTTCGCAACGTAGAGAGACGCGGAAGGTCGCGAGAATAAATCATTGTTCCTTGAGAGACACCAGAGGATATATGAAATGCAACCGGCTGCGTTATTCTTCTTCTTCTTCTCTCTCTCTCTCTCTCTCTCTCTCTCTCTATCTATCTATCTTTCTCTGTCTTATTTCAATTCATTATATACCTTCTTTCACTCTGACAAGGTTGATTCCGTTGAACAAGTAGATACATACATACATACGTACGACTATTACCAGCTAGGATTTGTCTTTCGCAAGGCCGATCATGTCAGTTAAACGCTACTTATGTATATTATATACAGAGTGTTGAACGATCGTTGTAAAAAGTCCATTTTTCGCTGATCTTTAATAATAACTCGACGATCTGATGTCTGATGAAATTGCTAAAGACGCATTTATTTAATATACAAAATATAATGATCAAATTAATCGATACGGGGAAACGTTTTAATTGAATCTATATATATACACACAGGTAATAAATAAAATGTTCAAACGCAAATCGTTCAATTTCAGGCTTCTTAAGTCATTTCCCTAGTCTATTTGAAGATTGAAATAAAACTTGATTATAATACCCGGAACACACAAAAGATAGAGAAAGAGAGAGAGAAGAGCTTTCCCTCTTCTAAAGTTATTGCGATTTCGATCTCTCACCTACCGCACCGTCGGCGGTATTATTCTCCGTGCTTTGCTGAACGAGAAAATCCAAGAGGGACGCCTTTCTCCGAGTGTACGGCCTCGTAGAAGAAGGAAGAACTTGTCGGAACGAAGAGATCTCCTGGAGAAGACGGCCGAGTCTACTTTTGCGCCCGGAGGAACGGCCGATCGTATGTGGAGCAACGAACTTGGAACTTCCAGGAAAGAGAAAATAATCTCTTTCTCTCTCTCTTGTAAGAGTAATCCCTGAGAATTCATGTAAAAACTTAATTTCCAAACGAGGAAAGGAAAATCTTATTTCTCATCGTTCTAATAAACTAAGAACTTATACTAATCGATTAGATACTTTTACTTAGAACACAACATCTGTTTGAAGATATTTTGAATTATTCATTCATTTCATATGCATTGGGAACACGACAAATTCTTAGTTTCGATCTCTATTCGATTGACAAATATCTAAGAACTTATATTAGATGACAATCACATTACCAACCGTATGCGTGTATTATTGGAACAGATGGAACAGATATATCGACGAACAAAATTCTCCTCGTCGTGTTTGATAAGCAAACACTTGGTAACCTATTTTTAGATGACAATGATCATCAACTCAGCTGATATAGATAGATATGTGTATACATTGAGAACGATCAATCATCGTCTCTGTGACATCGGAAAAGAAGTCGGCAACAAGTGCTAGGACTATTGAAGGGAAATAAGAACGACACCGAGACAACTAGGATCAACATCAACAACAACATTAATAGCAAGAAGAAGAAGAAGATGATGATGATGATAATGATGATGAAGAAGAAGAAGGATACAGGATATTACGAGCATCCGACGACATGATGAGGATCGAACCTGGCGATCCATGGAGTTGTTTCGATATTACCAACAGTTTTGCGGCATCAAGGCCGCCTCCTTAGCCGAGATCTTGTCTCATGATGACTCACGCCTAGCTGTGGCCGCTACCTCGACGTTCTCTCTACCTCCACCTTCCTTTCTTCCTTCCTTTTTCTTCATGCCAACCTCCTCAACCTCCTCAATCTCTTCAACAACATATCGACAGATATATTTCCTCTCTCTGTATCTTTTTTCTTGTTTTCTACGCTACTCTTATTTTATTTGACCACAATCTGAATTTTTATAACATGCCCCGAACTTTCATCGCAAGTTACCATTTTCCATTTCTCACATTTTTCTATGGTCCTTATCGAGAATTCATTGTATATCCTCATATCGATATTCATTCTATTACATCTCCCTTTTGTAAATTCCTAACTGTTTTTTGATCGATTGAAATTGATGGGATTGAAATAGGGGAAGTTCAGTTCGAGATTAATAGAATTCCGATGGGGGGGTAGAAAAATATCATTCGAGATTCTCAGCTATTGCAATGTATTAGAGTTTATTGAAAAATTGATATCATACCTTTTATTATCGTTACGTGGAAAGATAGTGGATACACATAAGAGAGGAAGAGTAAGAAATAGTAGAAGAAGAAGAAGAAGAAGAAAAGCAAACTCGTGCAAAACACGTTCCATTCGTCATAACGTACGCATTGTATGGTAGGTGTAATATAATGGTTTCTATATCTCCGGTGATTATACACAACCATACTCAAACCTATAACCAATTATCACCGCATAATCTCATCGAAATTATATTGTTATCCTTATCTGTCTTACTATCAAACTATTTTTCTTTTTTGTTTCCATTTTCATCTTAAAACTTCTATAAGTTGACATAAACATTATTATACGTATTGAAAAAAATGTCTGCATCTAATAGAAAATATGCTTTTCTCGAATGAAAAAAATTCAATCGTAAAAAAAAATAAAGCGCGCACGTACGTAGGCAGGCTTCAATATCAATTTAGTTTTCTACGTGATAGAATGATAATAGTGGTTGTTGTCGGTGACCTTGAACGATATATATCAACGGGTTCTCATTGAGGTCTAGGAAATGATATCGATCCGATTACCCTCAACTCTTCCTATACAGAATACTAGTGTCCTTTTCTCCAAAGCTTTCCGCGCAAGTTCAGCCACTGAAACTATGTATATAGGAGTCCTTCGTCGTCATCAGGTGTGTACGCGCGATCAATCCGTCGCCTGTCTGATTCCTCCTACAGCAACATACTAGCCTGGACGATAATGGTACTCGCGCAGAAACTTCTGCGCATTTTCCTATACTCCTACGAATACCATATTATTATACTTTAAGGAAGTGTCCAAGTTTAAGGTATATCCTACACGAATGTTTCAATTATTAGTATTTCTACGATTTGTTT